AGAATGAAATGTAACTTATCTTGTAAAGGATTATGTGAGACTTTATTACCACTCAAATGAAAGAGCAGCTTTATAATTCCTAGAGGTCCCTTTATGGAGTTTATAATAACTGTGGACAGGATTTGTAACCCTACTTCCACATTTCCCTCCTACTCACCAAACACCCCTCAATTCATCAAATGCTTTTTTCTGCTTCTCTTTCTCATTTGTTCCTACCTACTGCTGTTTATTTGTGGGTCTTTCTGTCCCTTACTTCTGTTTACTCTTTATTCCCTGAGCACAAGCCACCCTGTACTTTTAAGTAACCATATTAAAAATAAAAAAATAAAACAAACAAAACATATTACTAAACTATTGAAAAAAAGAATAATAATCATAGATTTTTAAAAGAACATAAGTTCTATACTTACTGGAGAATTACTGTACTGTGTCAAAGAAAGCAAAACTAGACTAAATAGGAACTGTGATAATTTTTAGATATAATGAATCCACCTAAAGAACTCACCAATGAATATGGGATAGCCCCTGAGAGTTCTGAGGCACTCACTCTTAAACCCTTGAATATTTTTACTAATAGTTTAGATGGTGTTCAGCAGAACAGTATTTTTTTATAGATATGCATTTGTGGATTTAATTTTTTAAAGAGAGGTAAATAATGTCTCAAGATTAAAAGTAAATTTCAAATTGGCCAAGATCAAGTGGTGAAAAGAGTCAGTCATACAAACTAAGGTCATATAGAGTCAAAAACATTAAAAGCATTTAAGTGCAAAACATGGGATGAGGACAAACCATTAAATACATAAGAAAAAATCTAGGAATCCTTGCCCAGGAATCATTGTGGTTAAAAGATTAACAAAATGTTAGGACATAGGAGAAGGATAAAAAGCTTAATGGTTTTTCAACCACAATTTTTTATTCCATCTGCACTTGATCATATTCACATGGGGAACTAGACAGCATCCAATTATGAGCATTCATATAAATGGAGAATTTTAAAAAAGTGAGTACATAAATAACATCTGTGATGTTGGAAAAAGAAAAGAATGCACTCCATTACCTTTCAACAAGTGACAGTTAAAGGTTGTATAGCTGACCTCTTAGGACAGAAAGATGATGACTATCGGCAATGAATAGGAATATTAAGAAATAAGATTATGCTTCCATAAAAAAATATTATCCTTATTTCTTTGTTTTAAAATACAAATGCAATAATAATTTTATTTTTTACTTTATGCAAAAAAGTATGTGCTGCTGACTGGATGAATATAAACATATATATTATATATGTATATAATGACATTTACATAATAAATTCATAAACTTTTGAATGGTATATCAAAGAATATAATTTAATTCTTGCCTGAACAAGTTATATGCCTAGGTTAGTCACCCATTAGTATCATGTTAATAAAACGGAGTAAAAAAGATTTCCAGATCCTTTAAACCCAGTGCTAAGCTACAGGATCCAGCATTAACAGTCTTTGGTCTCAACTCCCTAATTCAGGCATTTTTGTAAAAATATTCAATTGGATATTAAATTAGCATAGCCATGATATTAGTTAATTCCTGTTCTCTAGTTTGAAAAAAAAAGACAATTAAAATCAATTAGTAATTTAAGTAAAAATTCAATAAGGGAGTAAGAAGAGAAAAAGAGAAAGAATATTCATTTTAAAAGAGGTTTCTATAGCTATATTTATATTAAATCATAGATTTCAACGACGAATGTCAAACTATTTCCTTTGATTTTTACTTAATCTACTTTCTTTTTATCTGAGTAGAAAAAGAACTGACCCCTTCAGGCATAAAGTTAGAAGATCTATATTTGATTACCATAAGAAATTTCAGTATTTTTAAGGTGGACAGACAGGAATAGAGATGAAATAAAATTTGCTTTCATATAAGAGAAAAGCATAGCTAAAAATTAGGCAAAGACATTAAAAAAACTTTCTCCAAAAATTAGACAATTCTAAAATATTATGGATGGAAATTTTATAGTAGCAATCATTAGAAAGCCACATCCATGTTCTTAATGTCTTCCTGAGATTGAAAATTCCTTATAATTATTAAATAAAACTTTTATATTTATATGGAAAAGAAGCTTTTATTCAGCAAATAAGAAGACAGCAATATAAAAATATTAGTAAATTTAATTAGGTAATAGAAAGAACATACATGCACTGTAATTACTATCATTATTAATTAGATTTTATTCACTCAAAAATTCTATATATTTTGTATTAAAGATATAAATTTTACATTGAAAATGTTAAATGGAAGTTAAAAGAGAAAAGTGTGTAATATTTAATAAGAAAAATGTACAAAAACTGATGGGGAAAATATTATTATTTTAAGATTTTGGTATAGCTTCTCTTTAAAAATATAGTTGACTGTTTTAGGTCACTTCATCTCCATCCCTAAGAGAAAATGAGAGCAGCTTGTTAAAGGCAAATCTCCCCTGTAATTTTTCTGAACGTTATTAGTTCCCCAACAAAACATGACTACTTTTCAATGAACTCTATGAAATGATAAGAACTATAAGAATCCATTTTAATTATCCTGGCTACAGGAAAAAAAATCAACTTTAAACAAACTACACTAACTGGCTGGCTGAAGCGCTGTCACTGATCAACACTCTCCGTTCACAAAAAGCAGGAAAGAATTCAACCATAATTTTGTTAAATATAAATTGATGCCACATGTTAATCAATTTTACTTCCAGAACTATCTTTTTAACAAATCAAAAGTAAAGAACTTTATAGAAATATGATATGCAATATTTTAATTAGATGTTTTTATCACCTTGTGTTATATAGCACCTTGCTCCAAATTTGTCAACAGTATAAATCTTTTATTTGTTTTTAATCAGGACATTCTTTATGGTATATGTAGTACATGGCCTTATACAGAAAAATCATTATCAGTACTCTGCACCACTACAGAGACTGGATGCTTCAGATGCATTGCAACTTTGAATTAAAAAAAAAACAAAAAAAACCCTGATATGTAGATTAATTCTATTTATGTCTGGCTTTGTTAAAATAAAATTGATAAAGTCTAAAAACAATAAAAATATGTTGCCTGGAAAAGATATCTGCTATGATAGATAATAACCTTATATGTTTTCAAAACTAGAAAATGGCAATAAATAACCTTTAACGTCTAACTTTCCATTTATATCACACCAATCATTGTCACAACCGACTCTTCAATAAGAGTCTCAAAGTGATACATAAACATGGATTCCCTGACAGAAACCTTGGCACTGTATTAACAATTAAAGTGCTCATATCTGCCCAGTGGGCCTAACCTAAAGAATGAGAAGATGTATTTCAGAATATGCATAGAAACAGGGACACATAATTACCACTGCAATAAGCATGTCTAAAACAACTGCTCGGCTTGATATAAAAACTCACTTATTTCACACAGCAGTCAATATAAAAATATGCTAAGTGAAATTTTAGAAATTGTATGCAGTTCATTGAAATTAATTATAAAAGAATATGATCTACTCAAATTATTTATTTATAGTTATCTTAATGAACATGTACATCAGAGCCAGGCTCATAACTTTCCACCATAATGTACAAAATTTAGTCTATGTACCGTATATAGCATTATAAATATGCATATAATGTGAAGTGACGGGACAAGTGAACTGCTTTAATTCTAACACTTTAGTGAGCAACTTGGTCAAGAGTAATTAGGTTAAGATCTTATAAGTGAATAATGAAAATGACATGAGAGCAAAACTTTTTAAAAGCACACTGGATTACTTTTAATTGTAACTTAAGTTGGAGTTGTATAACACAACATAAAATCGTAGCATGGAAATAAGTTTGAAGGCAAAATCTCCACTTAAATACTTATCATTATCATTTTATTAATACTAAATTCTGAATCTGGCTATGCTTCTCTATGCAGTCTTAGATCAGTATTTTTCAACTTACAAACTATTTGAGCTCATCTTTCTCAATTTTTGAAAATTTGAAAACTACTAAGGAGAATCCCTCTAGAAAAAAAAAAAAAAGAATTGTAAATGGTACACAGGGAGAGAACTGGGTTTTACTCTGTCATTCCCAGTCTCTAATTGGATGAGCCTTAGGGAGGACTTCTCTTGTTTGTGATGGTGCCCTCTAAGGACTAGATGGACCTTGCTTTAATAACCACTCCATGTGCAATTTGTTTTAGCATTTACACCGCTGATGGTAGGAAGCAATCTTCTTTAATGGATGTTGAAAAGCTTCAAGTGAAATCTGTAATTGACAAAGGCTTCATAGAAACAGGCAATTAAGAATAAAATTAACAAGAGGCTCTACAGGAAAAGCACTCAAGCTTTCACGAAAACTTCTCTAGGAAAATATTTAGTAAAAATAAAAATTTAAAAGAACTAAGTGTGGTTTCTTCCACTTTATTAACTGTTTCCTGGATCTTTATGCTTCTTGAAATGATTACGATAGAGTTAAAGTTATTGGGTCTTAGTGAAATAACTCACTTGCTAATATAATTGGAGGGGGAATAAAAAAAGAAAAGCCCCAGAGCGAAAGTTGAAGCAAGTTCAGCACCTATTTCTTCAAAATAAAAGCTGTTTTGTTTAGCTCTATCTAGTACCTCACATTGAATGGAGCAGTGTGTCTGTGTGGACAATAATCAAAAGCGTTCTGAAGAGCAAAGCAGCAAGGGTTGGGAAGGGAACAGAGCACTAATTTCCCTCAAGGCTCCAGGAGCCAACGCCGTTATCCTTAAGTGTTACTAGTCCAGAAAGTGATACAAGCACATCCGAAATGGTGAATATAAATAAGAGCACAAGAGTGGGTGAAAAAGAACAAACTGTCAACTGTGCTCTTTGCGCAAACCCCCAGCCCCTCCCGCGCAGAAGGAAGTTTACCTGTGGCGATAGGTAAGACCCAGGAGGGGGGCTGGAGTGGTTCTGAGGTGAGTTAATTGCCTGGCTTGGGGGAGAGGGGTCGCCTGGTGGGGAAGGGGCGGGTAGCACTTACTTTGAGCAGCTTGCAGCGGATCTGCGCAGAGACCATGTGGCTGTTGCGCAGGTTGCCCACCCGGAACATGAGCGTGAGTTTTCCGTCCCTCATGGAGATCACCGCATGCTCGCTAAACATGAGGGTCTCGGCTCGCTTCTTGGGCTGGGACATCTTGATGAACATGCAACCGATGAGGAAGGCATCCACGATGGAGCCGAGGATGGACTGAAAGAGGAAGAGAATGATGCCCTCGGGGCACTTGTCGGTGATGTATCGGTAGCCATAGCCGATGGTGGCCTCGGTCTCGATAAAGAAGAGGAAGGCGGAGGGGAAGTTATAGACATTGGCCACGCAGGGCGTGTAGTTGCCGACGTGGGCTTTGTTCAGGTCGCCCCGAGTGTAGGCGATCACCCACCACATGGACGCCATGAAGAGCCAGGCCACGGTGTAGGTGAGAATGAAGATGAAGAGGTTCCAGCGCCACTTGAGGTCCACCAGCGTGGTGAAGAGGTCCGAGAGGTAGCGGCTGGTCTCGCTGCCCAGGTTGCCGTGCTGAACATTGCACCGGCCGTTCTTGTCCACGAACCGCTGCCGCTTCTTCTTGGGTACAAGCTGCTGCTGCAGGTCCTGGCCCGGCCCCTGGGGCTGCAAGCCTGAGCCGCTGGACGAGGTGGTCACTACCTGGTAATCGTCCCCAAATTTCCTTCGGAGTGCAGACATAATACGGAGGGGCGAGCCAGATTCAAACGGAAGCGAAGGCGCAGGAGCTGGGCGCTGCAAACTAGCACCAATAGGGAGGTGGGGGCGGGGGAGGAAGGGGGGGCAAAGCGAGTGCTCTGGGGTGGGGGGCGCACCCGGCAGGTAGCCGCCGTCTCTGCCCCCTGCAGATGCCTCTTCTTCTCCCCTGAGACCGAGGCTTTCTTTCCAAGGTGAGTCTTAAAAAAGTGTTCCCCCACACTCAAGACTGGAGGGATGCAAGGACCAGAAACCCAAGCGCAATTTTGCCTCCAAGCTTTCCGAGGCTTCTCTTTTCTTCCCCTTCCAACGGCATCCCGGGCCACCTCTTGCCTTCCCACTGCCCTCCTGACTATCTTGCAGTACCCCCAAACTGACCGTTTAAAATTAATGAGTTGACAAGCGAGTTCCACCCCACCTGCCAACTCGCAGGCTGGCGAAGCTGCCTCTACCTGCTTGGACCAGACCCTCCCCCCTCCCCGCCGCTCCCCAATCTCCCGCCCCCCCGGACGGCTCCCGGCTCCCCCCGGCGCTCCCGCCTCCTATCTTTTAGCCAAAATCCCACCCAAAGGCATGTCTGCCCGGCACTGGTGCAACGCCCCCTACCCAAGCCCTCCGGGTTCGGGGTCCCCGGTGCCGGACTCCGGAGAGCTGTCCGCCTGGCGTCCTCCGGCCACCGAGTTTCCGCGGTCGCCACCAGGGCCCTCCGGCGGACCCTCAAGGGCCGGCAGGCCACCCCTGCGCTCGGCGGAGACGCGGCGGCGGGAAGCCCGGGCACTCACCCAGCGGGAGAGGGCAGGAGGCGGCGCGGCGGGCTGCAGCCTGGCCTCGCACTCCGCGCTCTCGGCTGTTTTCCTGGTTCCCACTTTTCCTGGCGTACCACGATGGGCGCCAATGCAGGTCCCCCAAGCTCCGCACCTCCCTAGGGGCACCACGCTGTCCCTCCAGAAGGATCCTGGCGCACAGAGCACAGCCTGACTCGAGCGGGGGAATCGTGGGTTCCTTGGCGCTGTGCCCGCCTTCCAGGCGACAGCGGTGCTGCTGGACGGTGCTGGAGCCTCGGGCTGCCGGTCAGACTTTCAGGGTAAACACTAGCGCCGCTCTAGCTTTTCCTCTGTCTCGTGGTGGAAACCTCTGTCTCTTCCTTCCTTGGTTCCCCAAACCCTGCCCGCGCCGCGGTGGCCCGGGGTGGAGGATGCGAGGCGCAAGCCGGGGCGGCAGGAATGTGGTGTGTGTGGTGGTGCGTGTGATCAGCTGCAGAGCCGCGCTAGCCCCGCCTGTCCCTGCCTTCCCCCGCTGCTCCACCAGCCTGAATTGCACCTCCGAGCCTCAGTTGAGCCTGCAGTGTCTGGCAGCTCAGGAAAAGCTAGCCCCTCCAATGAGTAGCTGCTCTAAATCTGCTCCCCAACGCCCGCCAACTCTCCTTCTTCGCCCCCTGCATCAGTCAGAAAGCCCCCGGTAAGCAGCAAATGCCGCTCTCTGAATGGAGAGAAGTACAATATGTCTCTATAACTAAGGCTCTCATTTTCAACGGATGCCTGGATTTGGGGTTGCATCATAAACAGAGATCCCAACTGGCTATGAGATAGGTATATTCAGAACTCAAAGTTACAAGAAGCAGAAGGAGTCTTAGGATGAACACGGAGAGGAGGGGAGACACTAATAGAAAAGCTCCCAATCCTTCCTGAAAATGGCTCTATCAGAAAGGTTCAGAATATCTAGAGTTAATGTGCGGTTGTAATTGAAGGAAGAAGCCTGGATTTTAATGGCTGCGGCCTGGCAGTTAACTTAATGAGGGGCAAAGTGCAGAAATAGCTAATAGAGTGCTCATGAGTAAATACCAGTTTGTTTACCACATTTCATGTTTGTTTTAAATTGCCATGGTATCTCACAGCATATTCCATTCAGTGCAGATACATAAAGTTGATTTTGTTGGAAAATCATCAAACCATGGCATTATAAAAGCAAGGGGCTGCTGGAAGACTACCATGCAAAGTAAAATAAGTATACAATCACTCTATCAGTTCTCTGCCAACAGGTACTCCCTTGCAAACCTTAGTGCAGGTAAGCGCAAGCCAGCTTGTCAACCGTAAGTAGAGGACTCTTTCACTGTCAGCTGGGTAAAACATCTATCCTCAGTTACAGATGGTTCTCCTATAGGCCCTCTGATAGGAGGTCAGTAACTCTGTTTATTCTTTTCAGGATTACATAAGAAGGGAAAGTGACACTGTGGGAAGTGGAAACTGCTCTGGTCCTGGAATCATAAGACCTGATTTGAGTCCTGTTTGTGCCATTTACAAGCTGTGTGACCTTGAGCAAGTAACTGAACAGCTTTGAGCCCTAATTTCCTGCACTGAAAAACTGGGAGTTTTAAGATTTTCCCAGGACTGGAATGAAAAAAGAGAGTGAATGTGGTTTTATCATTTCTGCTGTAAGGGACGATATATACTGAGCTATAAAGTTGCAAGAAGGCCAAGAAGAAATTACAAATGAGTTTTTGGAATTGGCACCATGCTGTGAACTAACACCTATAGTCTATCTCATCGCTGGCTACTCTCCCCCAGTGTACTATGTCCTTGCCAGGCTGGCTTCTTTCGATTTCTAAAACACTCCAAGGCAATAACCACATCCCTGAGCCTTTGCACTATCCGTTCCCTCTACTTAGAATGTTCTTGCCCTGCCATTCCTTTCAATCATTCATCTCTCAACCTAAAAGCATCCTTTTCAGGGAAGACATGCCTCACATCCCAGGTACTCCCTGTCACAGCAACCTGGTTCACCTTCTTCAGAGCACTTTTTTCTAGCTATTACTCTCTCCACCTGTTTGTTGTCTTTCTCCTCAACCATTACTAGTTATAGAATGTAAGCTCTATGAGATCAAGAACTGTGTCTGTCTTGTTCCGTTATGTCTCCATTACCTGGAAAAAAACCTGTCACATACTAGTTCTACAATAAATGCTGGTTAGATCAATAACATGTGCCAATCTATGTCACCAGAAGGTCTACATGCACTGAAACTCTGAGTACTACAAAATTAAAAGTCATCACTGAACCAGATCACCTATATGACTTAATATAAGAGAACATGTAAAGTGTTTGTTAGCTTTGGAAATATTATTCAATCCGGTTCAAAGTCATTTGATTGTATTACTACAGTATTTCTCATATAGTTCCCCCTCTCTCTTTAAAAAAAATGTCACCTTTTTCAAATCCCCATTTCAATTTAGGCCCAGATTCAAATGATTTTCTTCTCTTCATTTAGTCTTTCTCTCCTTCAAACTGTTCTGGACAGTATTACTAGATCTATCACCTTAGAATCATGTAAGATTAGTATTGGAATAGAAAACAAAGGGTTCTCTAATTATTTTACTTCCAAGCTTTTAAAACATTCTCACTTTTTGAAAAACATTTTTCCATGAAAAACTTGCCATTTTCCAACACCAAATTTGTAAGCAAATAATATTGTACCACAAGAGACATGGTCTAGTCTAATCATCTCATTTTACAAATGAACAAATTGAGGCTAGAAAGATGAATTAATTTGCTCAATGTCACGGAGCTAAGTGGAAACAGATTTGACCATCAAACAATATGTCTCCAGAACCTGGATGATCTGCCATCCCTTACCAGGTAGCGGCAGAGTAAGAAAGGAGAAAGGAGTCTAAGATTCCTGATCCACAGCCAGGACTTTCTTCCTCTGTAGACCGCACTTCTCATTTAGGTTGAGAGCTAACACTCCCCAAAATATGGCCTAACCTCGCTTCCCAAATTATCGCCTATCTTCCCTTTAATGTGGCTCAGGTCTACTCAACTTTGACTGTTAGCAGTTCCCCAAATATGCATTATATTAAGTTCATTTGCTCATTTATTTCTCATCATTTAACATATCCTTTTCCCATCCTTGTAAAGTCCAAATCACAGTCAATAGTATGTAAGGGAAGGGAAGAATTTCTTCATATTTTATTTCAATTGCCATCACTTCCATGAAACTTTTCCTTATAGTCCCACTAACAATAATCTACCCCCCTCCCACTCTCATTTCCTTATATTTCCAATGTGGCATTATTCATGTTGTAGTTTGTATTTCAGGTTAGTGTTCACCAAGATTCCCTCTATGAAAGGTCAGGCACCCTGAGCACCTACCCCTTAATATTTTGATATCATGCAGAACTCCTGTGATCCAACCTAGCCTTGCATATGATAAACATTTGATGGAGTATTAGAGAGAACTAGAATTTATTAAAAGGCAACTTAAATGTGCTAGGGAATGTACTTAGAACTTTAAGGTTAGCTTTTGTATTATATAACAAGAAAGACAGTGGAACAGGGATTCCAAAACACATCTGCCCAGTTTCAAAGTCTCTATTCTTTTAGAGACACAGTCCTGCCTGAGAAGTTAATTATTTTTCAGGATGCCATCCTGTCACACTTTATATGTGACTGAAGCTTTGACCTATTTGTGACATTGAGTCCTACTCCTTGAAAATGTTTACAGATGAACCAAACTCATCTTTCCCTGTGAGGACAGCTGCTTCCAGGGTGAGGTTCTGGAGGGCAGCCAGCCCCACAGCACGGAGGCCAAGCAGATGTGTGGCGAACGGATGATAGAAGGACACCTAATCAGGTGCTGTCTGATGAACTGAAGTGAAACAGTGCCGGCAGAATGGGTCAAAGGAGGCAGAGACACAATCTCGAGCAAGGCCACAAAGCCAGAAAAATCTGGAAAATGTAACTGCAGGATACACTATCATTGGGAGTTTAACATTTAAAGATAGGGTGGTAGATTATACGCAAAGTACCATACAGTTTGTGGGGGCGCGGGATCAAAGCTATATTTAACAACAAACTCGGCTAAAAGCAAGGCTACATATTTATACTGCCTGGAAAGTACTTCTGGCAATGTCTTATTTGCTGTGTCCAAAATTAGTAATATCATGAATAAATATAACTTCAAAAATGAAGGATATGATTCTGTGTTTTATACTAAAAAGGTATGACTTTGTACATGTACTTATCCTATTATGTAACTGAACAGTGTGGGGAAAAGACTATCTCTAATATAAAAGAAAAAACCTCTGCCCCTGAGAAGTCCAAATTCTAAAAATGACTTAATCGGCCAACTGTGACAAAAGCAAGGCTTTGAACATCTCAGTATCCCTGGAGTCTGTCTTCTCGTCATTCACTTATTGCCACTGTGACACACCATGTGACAGTCGGCACGGCCAGAAATATTAATTACTCTCTGGGGAAAATGGTATTATATTTAATACTCCTTTACTCCTAATCCTACCATTTTCCAAAAGTACAATGAAGAGATGGGCAGGCCTGGGGATCTAAAGCTTTCCTGCTTCAAAAGGTGACACATTCCCATTGCCACCATAAGTTTTGCTATATCTGGGAAGAGGTCACTCTTTGAAATTCTATATGCAATTTTGGGATATAGAATGGTGTTCCTTTTTTTTTTTTACCCTCCTAAAAAAGAATACTGGAGTTATTTTCTCTCTTGCCAAAAAGAGAAGAAAAAAATGAGAAGGAGAAATCAGTTTGAGATTTGATTGCGCAGACGTGAGAACAGAGGCACTGCCATACCATGGCAGATGACTCATCCCGCCTTTAATCTTGGCTCCAAACCCTGGCCTCTGCCTGAGGATTCAGAGAAAGGCAACACACCATTGTAACTTGTAGGCATTTATTTAGCAAGGTTTTCCTGACTTAAACCCTCTCTTCATTGCAAAGCTATACATTGGAGTATTCTGGTTTATGAAAGAATAAGGGCTTTTCAAAAGTCTTCCAGAACTCAGCATTTGTTTTAAAAGAAATAACTATTTTGTCAGCCCTCAAGGAAAAATAACAATGTCTTATCCTTATCCAAGTCCACGGAAGTTATACTTCTGAGGACTTCTTTTCTGAGAAGACCAATGAAATCCCAGATGTCAAAATATCTATAATAATATTGCTTAATTCAATACAGTAGGTACCTAGTATGCACAAACCATGTACTTAGCACTATATGAAGGGCTGTGTAGGTCAGAAGTGATGAAGACATTATGCCAACAAAATGTATTATGATTATATGTTATATCAAAATAATAATAATACAATGTGGTATGTACTTAAAGGAAGAGGACTGCTTTATTAGCAGTCAGAAGAAACCCATTTAGGAATTATTGCTCTAGCTAATGGGAGTTTTTCAAGCCTATCAAATTGGAATCATTTACATTTTGTTTAGCATTAAATTACCTCTGCTCAAACTACTTTATTTTAAAACTCTGAGTATAGATTTTTAATGACAAGATTTTTAACAGGTAAGTATTTTACACAATTAGAATAAGATAACAAATAAATCATAACCATGTTATAGAACCTTACAAACATGTATTATTAATAAAACCGTGGGAGAAAAAATACTAACAGTATTTTAAAGGTGGTAGAGTAAATTTTTCACTCTAATCTTCTGTGTTAGTATACAGAAAAGATTGAAATTATTTTTCAACAATTGGAAAATATTAATACAAGTTTTGTCATTTTTTAAAAATGCTTACAAAGATTAAGGCAGATTGTATCAGTACAGCTCATCTGGGGAGCAGACGCTGAGAGAAAGTTAGGGCAAGGGTTATCTTATGGGGCAAGCCCTATGAAATATAAAAGTGGAAGAAGGAACAGAATGAAGAAGAGAGCCTTCAATGCTATTCCTGAGCTGAGACCCCATGAAAGGAAATTTGAGGAAACAATTGTGTAAAGAGAGACTTGGGCTTTGATGTAAATTAGTTAAAATTTTAACCAACCCAATGGGAATCTCCAGAACAAAAGTTGCCTGTTAGTAGAATACCACGTTGGACAGAGATAGCCTGGCTTTAATGGCCCACTGAGCTGTCATTGGCTGGTGGCTGTTCTTGGAAGAGCATGTCTTTAGCCAAATGTGGCATCAGATCTGGAAAGGTGCTGTAGCTGGAGGTCCTGATCTCACTACACTTCTTCCAGCTGGAGGGTAAGTTCTTCTTGAAAAGAGATCCAGTGTCACACTCCTGTGACTGTCAGACAAAGAAGAGAATTTATCAGTGTCTCTGCAGAAGTTTTGTTACAGATATCCAGAAATGCTTCCACAGTCTAACTAACTGATTATAAATGTAGGCATAAATCTTTAGTTTTGTCCTGGTAGAGTCATAGTCACATGAATCCCACTTTTTTTGGGGGGGTGGAGGAGAGGGGGATAGTCCATGGTCGTGTTCATCTTCACTTTGATTATAGTTGGCTAAAGGGTAGGAATATATCTATTTAACTTCCCATAGCATCCTCCAATACTGAAGCTACAGTAAGACTGCATGAAAGGGAAGGAGAGTGGGGAGTAATGGAACAGCTGGAAAATAGGACAGAGAGAGGACTAAAGGAGAACCCAGTAAGGCAGGAAAGACCCTTGGTGACAAAGCACTGGGGAGGATAACTCAAACATTTCATGGCACATAAACCAGGTTAGATAGGAAGGAAGAATGACGAATAGAATTTTCTGAAATTGAAATGCCATATTTGTGGTTTTGAGCTGTGCATTAGAATCACGTCGGGGCTTCACTCCGGATCAGTTGTACCAGACTCTCTGGGGGTAGGACCCAGGCATTGGTATTTTTCAAAAGCTCCTCTGGTGATTCTGACAGCACAGCTAGCATTGAGAAACACTGATCTATGGGAATTGCATGCCTATTAGTAGAAGAGCTTCCCTGGGAAATATCACGCACAGAATACCATCAATCTTCCTTCTTCACTCCTGAGAGCCCTCAGCCTTTGGCACCTAAGGGAGTTGGGATTAGTAAACCCTGGTTCCTGCTCTGTCACAAATCACAAGAGTCCAATATGTATGGACATAAACTTTTGGTGACAGGAGGATCTTCCCATCAGTGGAAAAGCACATGGGCAAAGCAGGACACACTATGCATCCACTGCAGGCTCTTCCAGTCCTACCACCCACACAGTCATAAATAATGAACATGAAAGGAGGAATCTGGAGCCGCTGAATTGTAAAGCTCATAAATGTTTAAAGTTTTTCTGTTAATAATGTTTCTGCTTTCCATGTATGTATATGTAAACGTTCTGTCATTATAATCCTTCTTACCACTATGCATCATACTTTTCCACATTGCCCAAGGAAGGAAGGAAGGAAGGAAGGGCACAAATATTAAAATTCTCACCAAGGCTACAAGACAGTGGAAGAGCACATCACTATGTGGCCAAAATGACAGCCAAGCTGGGATCAGTTATGCTGGTCATTTGCTTTACAGAATATGATTATTTAGAGACAGAAGGGTACAGAAGAATTGCAGAAACAGAAAACCATAACTACGAGAAACTGGGATGTCATTTTTACACAATCACATGTAGATTTTCTTCCAGTTTTTACCAGAGAAAACTCACAGTAATTTTCATTAAACTTTTCACTTGGGGAAAGATAACAGTTCTGAATTTACCTGGTAAAATGGCAGCATAAACTCACCCACATTCATGCTTGCCCAGCAGTCTACAGATCATCTTCATGATTCTCCAGGAAGTAAGAGAAGAGGCCCTGGGATTATTTTAAGAGTAGAGAAGGAAGACATTAAAACTCAACTTCCTTGTTATGTAGTCCCTCCTCCAGGCTGGGCGCAGTGGCTGCCACCTGTAATCCTAGCGCTCTGGGAGGCTTGAGGTCAGGAGTTTGAGAGGAGTATGAGCAAGAGCAAGGCTTCATCTCTACTAAAAAAAGAAAGAAAGAGAGAGAGAAAAAAGCGTAGTCCTTCCTCCAACTTACAAAGTACACGCTTAAGCAACTCAAATATTAGCTTGAGTAAGTAGCAATTGTTTTAAACTAACCTGAAAATAAATATTGTATCCATATCATTTACAGGGAGCATCCACCTATTTATTATGACCCCATGGGTGATGTTGTGGCTCTATAAGTATCTTGATATTAAAGTAATAATTAAATGTAATGATTCTTTAAAGCTACTCTTTTCCTTCTCTCATCTCTACTAATTAGAAAGTCTGTTCTCCAAACAGAGAACAGAGCTTAGATGATTGACAGTATTTAAAAAAAAATAAGAGAATTTCTCTATTAGAGAGTGAATGGGTGTTAGCACTTCATTATACACATAAAGAAGAAACCTGCTATTTAACACTTACGTTCTGTATTGTTTTTGTTTTGCATCAAGCTGACATATCAAAAAACAAATAAAAACATTTTGTGAAATGACCAAATAATGAATTAACTTTCTGCACATGAAGAAAGTCTTTTCAGTAGGTTATTTTAAATAAAATCAAAGACTAGGGATATAACAATTAGAGAAATGGGGAAAACAAAAGGAGAAAGTTGAGAGAGGGAGGTCACATCCCAGTTCTAGCTATAAGTAAAGTGCACATTCTTTTTTGCATTCTGTGAGGCTGGAGTTACTGCTGATAAAATGTCCTCACATATTCTGTCAATGTCAGGATGCAAACATCACTAAATAAACTCTTGTATCAAAATGTCACATAGTGATTATTTATGCTTCTTGACAACACCAGTGAATGACAAGGCTGTCTCCACTGCTGCGAAAGGTTGCATACCAATTGTTAGAAGTAACTTAGATGAAGGACAATGTGGTCATCAGAATTCATTTAAACTATGTCATTAAATTAGATATGTTACCAGTGGTCATCACGGTAAACACTACTATGATTCTCCTGAAAGAAAAATATTCCCTAAACCATTTAATGCAAAATACTTAATAATTTACATGCATTTCTGAATCTCTGCTATCAAGTAGACATTCATTCTGAAAGGGAAGTGTCATTTATTTTTATTCTTTAATTGTTCATTGTTTCACAGTGTTCTTTCTTCTGGAATTGATTTTGGAGTCTACATTTTTAGAGAATACTGCAATTACGAATAAAATCTGGAATGATAATGTCTTAGCAACATGTACACAAAGTAACTAAGATAGTTAACGCCTTTATTGTTTCTAAATTCCATATTGTTTCCTGTTCCAACTCCACTAATGAGAATAAGGGGTATACCACCAGTCAGTGGGACAAAAACATGTATTGTGAAAATATTTTATCAAGTCAATCTCTAAAATTTGTAAGGTAATTATGAATTTGTTATCATAGATTTTAAATTATTAAAGAATATATGTGTATTGTTTTATTTGATATAACATCCCACCAACATTTCACTCTATTAATCATATTAAAATATTTGATGCTCAAAACACAATTTAAAGCTCCATAAATCCGTACAACTTCAGGATCTTGAAAAAGGCCACTGATGCTGCCCTAGAATTATTTGAGTATGAATCCTACTTAGTACTTTCTGGCTATGTAAACTTAGGCAAGCTACTAACTTCTCTGTTCTTGAATTTTCTCACTGTTAAAATGAAATAGAAATAGCACCTACCTCTGTGAGGAAGTTTCTTGAAAGGATTAAATAAGAACAATCTACATAAAACATACACACTAAGATCTGGCACAAAATATTTCCAAAGTCAATGAAAAACAAATACATTAAAAAATTTATCATTAATTTAAAATAAAATCTACACAGAGAACTTCTAATTTGCTAATTAACCTATAATGATTTTGTAGCCACAGAAATAAACTGAAATTAAAGCAATAACTAACTGCAAAAGAGTTCTGCTTCCTCCTTCCTTTATAACATTGCAAGTTTATAAATTCCAAACTGTGTTTTCTCAACTCAACTCCACAGATATAAAAATGTGCTTGCTTTTACTCCTCAGGTGCTCCCTTATTCCTGTTACTCTGTCAATGTGGGCTGTATCTGAAATTACCCCCTTATACTGACTCTACTGTCTCTGGTCTAATAGGTGCCTTCATTCATTCTTATTCATAAGACCTTTGCTTATTGATGGGAGGAGAAATTCATGTACCAACTTATCCCACCCTCTGGGAAATTTTGGCCTTTATATAAGAAAATAATAGCTTTTTAGCAGTCCAACAAAACTATAACCCCCACCTAGTCTCGACAACAACAAAACTACTAAAAGATGCAGTACTGGCTGGGAGATGGACACGCTTGAAGCTCTGACTTGGGTGGGGCAAGAACAATATAAGTAACCTAAACATCTATAGTCATGTAATATGCTGAAATAAAAAAAAATTAACAATTAAAAAAAATAATTAAAAAAATAAAACAAAACAAAACCAACAAACAAAAACCTCCCTTCTTGTAATAAAATGATGAAAGATGTTTCCGTGCAGTTATGGTTGGGCTAAAGAAAAAAAAAAAAAAAAAAAAAAAAAAAAAAGAAAGATGTAGTCACCAGAACACTTCTGAAGAAGTGAATCTATCAGTCTCTGGAACATCTAAAGTAAATAAAACCTTCTCAGGATGAGACCTCAAGAATTGCTTCCTACTTCTGCAAGGAAGAAGAAAGTCAAGAGGAAGAGAGGAAGCGTTGGGAATGGTGTCAGCACTAGAGCAGGGGGTCAGTCACCTCTGGGTGGTGATAGTCTTTAATATTCACAAAGTTCATCAGTGTTGTGATTATTTTTGAAGCCAATGAAGAGCCTGGACTTCATAGTCACCTTGATATAAGGCAAAGCCAAGGCAGCACTTGCAGGTATAAGAGCTTAAAGGGAAAGACACTCAGAAAGAAATAATTCTTAAAAACAAAGAAATCTCACGCCTGTAATCCTAGCTCTCTGGGAGGCCGAGGCGGCGAGACTCCGTCTCTACTATAAATAGAAAGAAATTAATTGGCCAACTGATATATATATAAAAAATTAGCCGGGCATGGTGGTGCATGCCTGTAGTCCCAGCTACTCGGGAGGCTGAGGCAGAAGGATCCTTTGAGCCCAGGAGTTTGAGGTTGCTGTGAGCTAAGCTGACTCCACGGCACTCACTCTAGCCTGGACAACAAAGCGAGACTCTGTCTCAAAAAAAAAAAAAAAAAAAAAGAAATCTCTTAGAGGGCTTCGATTGGATAAGGCCATAGGTTCAAGTCAAGTTGGAATAGTTCTCTGAGGGCCAAGACGGCTCCAAGATGACCCTTGCTTTATAATCTTGATTTCATTTCTTTCTTTTTTTTTTGGGGGGGGGGGATCATTTAAAAATATTTTCCTCAGCAAGTCAAAGAGAATAGGGGCTGCACCAAATCAGCATTTTCACCATTCATCTTTCCCTGTACTTTGTGTGTCTTACAAAATACACAACTGGAAAAAGAGTATTTTGAAATTTAGAGATAAGGGCGGGCCAGGATATTAAAATAGCTGTGCAGATAATCTAGCAACACTTGCAGAGTATTTCAAATAATGACTTTAGAAACTAAACCCACCTAACATAATAATGAGCATTTAAATTGGTGCTATTTAAAGGCAAAATAGCTGTACTATAAAAAGTGTCATTGATATATCAATTTTACATGCCTTTCAAACAGTATGAAAAACTGTAACTTCCATGTATGCCTCAAAAAGCAAAGAATTATAGCAGTGATAAATATTAATACATACAATTTCCTGAGAAACATCTTTATACATACATATATTCTAGAGCAAGAGAATTTAACTTTCAAAAGCAAGGAGACTTACAAGTAATAAATTAGTTTCATGTAACTATGATGGTGAAAGTGTCAGGGAAAGAGAGCCTTTATCCCTGACGTATGTCCTCCAGAATTGCCTGTCATTCCCCAACTATTTCAAAGCATTTAGGATTAACTACATTACTACCAAGATTACTGCTAACAGCTACCAATCCTAAATAACTCATGGCCCTAGCCACCTTCTAGAATTTTGGGAAGAACAAAATTCTTGAAATTCTTTCTTTAAAATAAAGTTTATAAGGGAGAACAAACAAAACAGATAAATGCAGAGCTACAACTGGTGAAGCTGGGGCACAAAACCCACCAACTTAGACCCTTCCTCCTTTTTCATGGTGGTCACCATGGAAATGCTGAGGAAACTCCAGGGTTCTGAAGGGCAAAGTTCATTTTTCATCACTTCCTGTAATTTAGTAGATGCCATGGAAGTGGGTGGGATGAGGGAGGGAGAGACACCAACTTCATCCCAAGCTATGCTCACTTCTGGGATTCTCTCACAGTTGGATGAATGATGAGACAGACCTGACAAAAGTAAACTGCCTGAGGCTCTTGAAAGTCTCATGAAAGACCTAACTCATTCCTTGGAAGGCAAGAGGAAATGAGGCAGAGAAGTTAGTAAAAAAAAAAGCCTTAGTCACTGGGGGGATGAGCAATTCTGCCTTTCACATGAAAATTCTCTCATCCAGTCACTAATAGTCTAATATAATGAATGCATGAATCTTGCAGATATACAGGTGTGGGTGAGAAAGGGTTGGTGGGATTCTAACAGGGAAAGGGCTATTCATTAAGATCATTTTTTAAAAAGTTTGCATATAATCTGCACACTTCGGTACCCTGGTAGAAAAGTATAACACTGCAAAGGAGATAGTTGTTTAGAAAAAGCTTGGTATCTGGTCATTTGGGGTATCCAAAGAATGCCTAGCCTAGCTGCTGTGGGAGGGAATGGACTTGATTTCAGTTTCAACAAGGGAATAAGTCACACTGGAGCAAGTGAAACCAGTAGCAGCAGCTCCACACTTAGTTCCCTGGGCCAGACCCCAGAGAAAGGACAGAGCTGGCAGGGTACAGAAGTTTCTTCTCTGTGTGGTACCATCCCTTCCCTGAGGAATCAGAGCAAGAAAAACAAAAAAACAAGTCTATGTTACTGGACCATACCTCAACTTATAAACATTAACAATAAAGAGCGACCACCAGAAGGCTCCCTAAAGAATGTGATAGATGGTAGAAGCTGTATTACTTGAAAGAGAAAATGTTGGGACCAAGTGGCAATAAAAAAAAAAAAAAAAAAAAAAAGGTTAGCCATACACAACAGGGTTGTACTACTATAACCTTTACTCTTTCAAGTTTCAAGAAAATAATTGTCCATATTAATCCTCTACTTATTGACACACTGCCTTTGCCCCTTCCTGGAATTTTTCAATCATTCCAAATTTTGCTAGATAGACAGCCATAGCCCTTTGGAGCATGCATGTAGTGGATGCCTTTTCAGCCCAGTTACCTAACAAGAGATTGAATGTGTGGGTTCCCTCCCCTTTCTTCTTTAGTGGGAAAAGCTGGTACTGGTACTACGTTATAGGTTAAATAAAGATGGAAAGTTACAACGAAATCACTGAGGATAGAATTGTTTAGAAGGGAAATCCCTGTTGGTCTCAAGCCACTGAGGCTGTTACTTTCCTTAGGAGTGGCCAAGAGGCCCTAGCCTTGATTTGGTAAAGGTTGTGGCCCCACAAGGATGACAGTTGGGGTAGCAGAAGGCAGGTTTTATTCTGGGTTCATATGAATAATAAGATAGTCTTAGTCACCAGGACTGGAACACTGGCAGAGAAAACAGTCTCCCAGGTGTGCTGCAGATGCTGGTTCAGGCGGGGCCTCCCTTTGAGCCACATCGTCTCCCCTCAGCTGCTCCAATGTGCCCTGCTGTGAGCAGCCACCAGAGCCTGCATCTCACTGTCTCATACGCATGAAGTGATAGAGAATTAAAAGGACTTGAACCTCAAGGGCATTAACCTCTTTGATGGAAGCTTTTCCACTTTGAGTACCCTTAGGGTCCATTGCTGGTGACCTCCAATTCTGGTGCACCAAGCTAGCTGCCTGTAACTCCTCCCTCAGCCTCCTGCCTTTGAGAGTATCATCTTCTGCCTCTTTTGCTTTCCTAGCAGGAGCACCCATGGGGGTAATTCCTGAAATGTTTCACAGCCAGTTCCATTCCCCACAAATACTTTCCCCACAAACTACAGCTTGTCCGCACAAGAGCCCTTTGACCTGGCTCTCTCAGCCACTGTATCCAGGCATAGCCCTTTCCCTTTACACTTTTCAGGTGTTACTCAGGTCCTTGTTCCAGTGTCCTTCAAGCTCCAGTGGACTAATATTAAGAGCACCAAAATATTCTCTTGGATTTCTTTCCATTTGACTTTCTCTTCCACTTTTCCCCATGAGCCGTTGTAAGGACGGCACATAGTAATCCGTGAACTCTCTGCAAAGCAATTTTCACTATAGACTTTTTAACTTCAAATAATGTTTTGTTTTCTTATATCTAGCTTGAAATGGCTAATGAAGTAATATTGACTGAGTCGATTTCATAATCTCTGAGCATGTTTCAAAGGGTTCTGGCAACTCATTTTTTAGAAATATAGGAACTTGATAGCTGTTACATTGTTCATGACTTTTTTTTTATTTCAAGAAAATATGAGAGCACAAACATTTTGGTTGCATTTTATATCTTTGCCTCTCCCTAGCAAGGGTTAGAGGTTTGCCCTTCCCCTCCACCATGCTCACCACATCCCTCAGATGGGGGTCATGACTTTTGAGACCTGCAGTGAATGCAACACAGATACAACTTTGATAATATTACACATGTATCACGTTATACATTGATCATATTATATATTCATCACACTATATTAATATATAGATTATATTGATTACATTGATATATTGATTACATATATTGATTACATATTATCTTAGTTCATTTTTTTTTGTTACTATAATAAAATATCGTAGACTGGGTAATTTATAAACAATAGAAGTTTATTTGGCTAGGAAGTCCAAGAGCATGGTGCCAGCATTTGTTGAGGGCCTTTGTGCTGTGTCATCCTATGGCAAAAGGTGAAAGGATAAGAGAGGGCAAGAAAGCAAGAGGGGGCTGAAATTGATTTTATAACAAACTCACTCTCTTGAAAACTAACCCACTCCCATGATAATATTCAGTCATGAGGGCAGAGCACTGATGAACTAATCACCTCTTATTAGGCCCCACCTCCTAAGACTGTTTCATTGGGGATTAAGATTGCAACAAATGAACTTTGGGGGACACATTCAAATCATGGCACGTATATTGACTGTGTTATAATGACAATATTGTACACTGATGGAAATAAGTAAGGATGTTTGAAAAATTGTGATGGCTCAGAACATGATAACCCAAGATATAGCACTTTAGAATACTGAATATTTTAAACTAAAGGAAATTGAGAAAACAGAAGCAGGAAGGCCTCTCTGACTTTGTCCTGCCCCACTAAAATGACTTATACAAACTGGAATTCTTTGCCATTGAGGGGAGTCATAGGAACAAGAAATCCTCTACCCTGAAGCAAGCCATAAAACTAGGAAGGTCATTCTCTGACTTCCTCCCTCCCTTCTCTCTGGAAGACCATCATGTAACAGATGTCCTGCTCCATACCCAGGGGGGAAGGAATGTCACACAGAGATGCAGGAAAATTCTGAACAAATAGGTCTTGCTGAGCTCCCCTTAGTTTATTTTCATTATATCATGCCCCATTTTGTCTAATTATGTTTCTCCATAAGTATTCATTTCTTTCATCAAACTTGGCATAAAAGTACAGCTTTCCCTGGGAATTCGGGTTTTCATTTCTGAAGACTCTCGTGTCACATAAAACTTTTATTAAACAAATTTGTATGCTTTTCTCCTGTTAATCTGTCTTTGTCAGATTTATTTTTAGGCCTAGCCAGGGACACTAAGAGGGTTGAGGAAACCTTCCTCCCTTACAAAATAAAAGAGAATGTGGAGAGAATTGGTCTACATGATATTAAAATATGTTATATTACTATAATAAGTATGCTAAAGAGATGTCACCTGAACAGATTATAAACCCAGAATCTCACTTACTAACCTATCATTGCATTAACAAATTACAAATCAGTGAGAAAATAATGTGTTCTTAATAAATGCTCTTGCTGCTGTCAATATTGAGTAATGTCTTATCTTTGGATCCATGAAAAGCTGACCCTGAAGCAAAACCTTATGGAATGCCCCTTTATTAGAGAGCCTAATTTCAGACAGCAAGAATGAGGGAAAAGGAAATGAGGCCAGGAAGGGAGAAAGCCAATGGAGGGCACAGGAATGCATTAGGTTGACTGACTGCTCCATCTCAGAAGACCACTTTCTAAGGGGCAGTAAAAGCTTCTCACATCTCACTATCTGGGGTCAGAGGCCAAAGAATTGATCTTTAGGCCCCCGGGTTTGTCAGTGGTTAGTCAATAATATTCCACAAGGAGATTAATTACTCCAGACAGATTAAATACCACCAGACAAATATACTATTACACAAATAGGAATGGTGACCTCCCCACTCCTCTATATCAATAGGCAAGGATTAGGGTTGTAGGCATGAAGTCTGTGTTGTGACGTTGGTCATAAACTATCCCCAATTGGTCCTGACACCAGTCACTGAGGCTGGAACAAATAAAACAGATTAGAGAGAACAGTTGAGGCAGAACCATTATACAGTGGTGCATATCTGAAATGGATAAATTGACTTTGGGGTGGGAAAAGGGTATCTATTTAAACCTATATGTGACATTTCAGCAAATTAAATGCCAGTGGGTTGAAGAATTAAATATAGAAAAATGAAACTATTAAATAGAAGGTCCATTGATAAATTATACCTTTGCAATTTGCGATTGGTAAATTGATTCATATATAATGTGTCTAGAGAAGAGATTGTAAGCACACCAACAATGGAAGAGACTGTAAAAGAAAACGAAAAGGAAGTACAATCTCTGTGCAGCACTTAGGCATGCATTAATGCATTTCTTGAAACTCTTTCCTTTGCTATCATCCAGAGCACTATTCTCTCCTGGTTCTCCTTATATATTTTTCAATTGCTTTCTCTTGGTCTCCTTCAAGGGTTCTCTTTCAGTAGTTTGTGCTATATGTGTTACTTTTAGCCAAATCCCTGTTTTGTTTCTGTTTCCTTCTCACCTTCATGCTTTCTAAAGTTCTTATCCATACTCCAGAATTCAATTATCTATAGATTAATTAGCTCCAAACCTATTTTGTCAACCCTGATCTTTTTTGAGTTCTATGTCAATATTTCTACCTGTAACTGGATA